ACAGCTTCCGGGTCATGTGACCAGCATGACTAAGCCGCTTCTGGCAAACCAGAGCAGCGCACGGAAACACCGTTTACCTTCCCGCTGGAGCAGTACCTATTTATCTATTTGCACTTGACATGCTTTCGAACTGCTAGGTGGGCAGGAGCAGGGACCAAGCAAGGGGAGCTCACCCTGTCACGGGGATTCGAACCACCGACCTTCTGATCGGCAAGTCCTAGGCTCTGTGGTTTAACCCACAGCGCCACCCGCGTCCCTTGCCAATAATAATAATAATGGTTACCAGTAAATCAGAACATAGGAGCCAACACAGGAATCTTTGCCCTGCACAAGAAAATATTTAAGGGGCCCAGCTCCCCAAGTTAATGGACATTGCCTTTCAAATTGTGTGTATGTATGTGCTGCATCATATGATCAATTATGCGGGGTGGGGATTACCTGCCCCCTCCATATTTTATTCACCCTGTATCAGAACAGTGTAAAGCAGAATGCTTCTTGCTTGCCTGGATGGAGGATAGAGCATGTGGGTTGGTGGGTGGGTGGGAGGGTGTGTAAATCAGCCTACTGCACAAAGGTAAAACTCACATTCATTGATCTGCCCACATTTTGCTTCTGGCATGTTGTTTGTCCTGAAGGGAATGTGGTTCTTAGGCTGAAAAACGTTCCACAGCCTTAAGTAAACAGAAGTCCAAATATTCCTAAAAATAATCACAGAACAACAGGTTCAAAACTCAACCCCAACCCAGGGAGGGGTGGTCACATTACAACAGATGCAGAATGATAAAATAGCCTTTACCACCCTCCCCCTGCAGGGAAGAGTTCAGAGGCTTGGTGGGCTCCAGAAGATGTCCCTGGCCCAGAGGGATGGGGCAAGACAGGATGGAGCTGCTCCAGTCCCTACTTGCTCTACTGAGAAAGGAAAGGTGAGCAGGCAGCAGTAGCAAGAAGAAAGACATAGCAAAGTCAGGCAGTTCTGAAGGTTGGCAATGCACCCTCAGCTTAGAATGTGGACCTCCCAGTTAGTTAACAATGCCAGCCATTGCTGCCTTCATCACTCTTAGAAAAGTCATTTTTAAAAGTGCAGATGGACACCAGAGAGTAAAAAAATCCTGATAACCCCTTACTGAGGAAAGCAAACAAAAGCAGTGCATAAGTGAGGAGAAAGGAACAGAGATTTTTCTACAGAGCAGGAAGAAAGGCAACTAAAAAGTACAGAAGAGCACTCCCTCAGAACAACAGCACCAACCAGAGCATGTGTTACCTCAGTGAAGATCTTAACACCCTTGCCTGGTTGCTAAGCTATATCTCCACCATCACCCTCTTTTTTAGGTGATTTACTAACAACAGGATTAACCTTTAAGTCACCCACAGAAGGACCTTTGCTGATGAACTTCCAATAACCATATGGAGTGGAAAAACTGACATGAAGATTTAATGCTAACCTCGAATGCCTCTGTGTCTGTATCAGATGGACCTTGTACAAATCCATATGCAGATAATACTTCTCTGCTTGCGTCCCTCTGAGTCAGGAAACATATCCTCTTGTTTTCCCTATGGCAGATGGCCCGGAGAAGTCTAAAACAGCAACAGTTTGGTTGGTGCCAAATTATTTGTCATCTCCTGCCTGAAACGAGCCCACATCTCAGCATCAATTGTCGCACATTTCAAGAGAAATTACTACAATGGCTGTCCGTAGCAAGGGGAATTCTCATTATGTTTTTTGCCCCTGTTTTGTCCCCTCCGATTATCGTGAACACAAATCTCACCTCAAAGAAGACGTTGTTTCAGTAAATCAGCTCATTATGATAGTTGATAAGGTTTTGCAAAGTGTGGAGGCAGCAGAGAGAAACAAGTATTTCCCTCTCCCCAGACTCTCTCATGAGGCTAGAATTCATTAGTGTTTACTTATTTAGTTGTTGTTGTTGTTTAAAATGTTTTGCTGCGCTTCAGGCAAAACAATTTTCCAGAGCAGTTTATAGTCCCTGCCCTGAGAATGCAATTTAAAATAGCACAGCACAAAATAAAAATGAATTGGGATGGAGGAGGAAATAAGGAAAGTCAGGCACCTGTTGTAAGGTAGCAGTACTTAGTTACAACAAGTCATATATCCACATAAGATCGGGATTAGGAAAGACCCCTATCTGAAACTCTGGAAGGTTGCTAGCCAGTCTGTGTACAGCAAGGTGACTAAACATTTTGGAATTGGGAGTCACATTGACAGTGGACCAACTCTCTAGTTATTGTGGATATGCTTAGAGGGAGTTTGGCTTTCTCCCTCCACACAGACAGACACACACATAGCACATAGACTCGCCATATGCACACATCCCATACACACATACACAGAGCATGCACAAATGCACACATTTTCCCCTGTTTTCCAGCCATACACCCAACCCATCCATTTTCCAGTCACTCAGAAACAGGGGTAGTAAAGCATGTGACAAAGTAGTATGTGTTGCTTTACTGGCAGCTAGACTGGTGACTGGGAGTGGCCGCCGGGACCACATAACACCGGTTCTGAGAGATCTGCATTGGCTCCCAGTACGTTTCCGAGCACAGTTCAAAGTGTTGGTGCTGACCTTTAAACCCCTAAATGGCCTCGGTCCTGTATACCTGAAGGAACCCCCATCGTTCAGCCCGGACACTGAGATCCAGCGCCGAGGGCCCTCTGGCGGTTCCCTCATTGCGAGAAATAAGGTTACAGGGAACCAGACAAAGGGCCTTCTTGGTAGTGGCACCTGCCCTGTGGAATGCCCTCCCAGCAGATGTCAAGGCAATAAACAACTATTTTACTTTTAAAAGACAACTGAAGGCAGCCCTCTTTAGGGAGGTTTTAAATGTCTGATGCTGTACTGTTTTTAATATTCAGTTGGAAGCCGCTCAGAGTGGCTGGGGAAACCCAGCCAGATGGGCGGGGTATAAATAATAAATTATTATTATTATTATTATTATTATTATTATTATTATTACCGGGTGCGAAGGCTTTCTGCCATGTGCAGTGGTTGAGGGTGTAGCCACAGCACAGATCAGTAAGAGTGTGGCGACAGCTGTGGCATGCTCCTTGAAGGCTGGATCTGCCAGCTACTTGGCACACCCCCTGCCCATACCACTTCTACAGTGGCCTCTTTTTGAATAGGAGGCTCTACTGGTCTCCAGCTACACTCATTCCCAGTGCAGATCTTTATTCAACCCTTGTTCCTGTTAGAAATCTTCACTTTCCCCTTCTTCCCTGGTGCGGAGGTGGCACCATTTTGTAGTTCGCCTCAGGTGTCAAAATGTCTTTGGTAACAAAAATGTCTGATTCCATTCAGATGTAGCTAAGCCCAGAGTCATCTAGTGGCTTAACTGTATGACACTATCCACACAGTGAGTTGTTTTCTATATTTTGACTTCTGCAGAATCAGGTAACAATAGGGGTGCTCAGCTGTTTGATTTGCTTCAGAACTTTCTGCATTCAGATTTAGATCTTTAAAATGCTAGCAATTGTGACACTGTGCTAGCATGATTGTCTTTTCCAGGAGACACAGGAACCAGCCAGGCAGATGGCAAACATTGCTATAAACTACAATAGATCTGGAGTGCAGTAGCTCTCAATAGCTCCTTCTGACACATTCCAGTAGCTTTTCCTGATCCTTTGGTGCTCTGTGTGGGAGTCACGATGAATTCATTCTGAACACTGGGAAAGTTTCTCAGGCAGATGGAGGGAGAGATCTATTTCTGGCCTTTTCCTAAGTTACACACTTCAAAACCTAAACTTAAGAAGTCACAGGTTTAAGAGAAACACTTTGTAGTGCAAGAACTGGCCCATTGCAATTTCAACTAAACTGGATATACAGTGGTACTTCAGGTTAAGAACTTAATTCGTTCTGGAGGTCCGTTCTTAACCTGAAACTGTTCTTAACCTGAAGCACCACTTTAGCTAATGGGGCCTCCCGCTGCGCCTGCGCCGCCGGAGCACAATTTCTGTTCTCATCCTGAAACAAAGTTCTTAACCCGAGGTACTATTTTTGGTTTAGTGGAGTCTGTAACCTGAAGCGTATATAACCCAAGGTACCACTATAAATATTTATTCCCAAAACTGAGTTATGAAATCCTTCCAAATGTTAAAGAAAATACCTCCAGATTCTTGAACAGAATACAAAGCTCATTACCTGGGATATTTTAAAAAAATACTATTTACATTCTGTGCACCTGCTGTTACTTATTTTTCCACTCTCTGTATTTTGCTCTTTCCTGTGTTTTCCTTGTGCCTGGCATCTTCATTGTTCAACTCTCACCATCTGCTGAAGATACAACTCTTTTTATTGGCCTTTGACAGTCAAGGTATTTTGTTCTGTGCGGCCACACCTCTTTTTGCTAAATGTATACTGTTGTCACATGAACGGTTTTACTCATTTACCTTTTTTCAATAACTCTACCTATTTTCAATTTTATAGCACCTAGTGTCTCTCTACTGGACTCCAAGGTCAGCTGACCACTTTCAGGCTATGACATCAGCTGGCAGATGATGATGATGATTAGGGCCACGTCAGAGGCCTAGGAAGTGTTCTTGCCTTATGCAGTTATATCTCAACATGAATTGTGGCAATTGTATATTCTACTTCCCCAGTGTTTACTAAAATATCACTTTATGAAATCAATTTCCTACTTTTCCTGTGTGGTAGGGATAACTATGCTAGAGACCTGCCTTAATTGTGCTCTCTTTGTAGGTACAGGCAAACCTGTCCATTTCAAATTATTTCCAGTTCTCATTTTTCCAGTCTTTCTTTTTCCCCCCAGGGGAAAACATGAGCACAGTCCCCCACTAGCAGAAATTATCCCACTGAGTTTCCTGCATTTGTGGAAATCACAGGGGTCAGCACACCTGCAGTGCAATGGATGAGCCTCAACCTGGGAAAACCTCCTTCATGATAAAGGTGTCTCCCGTGCCAGGTAAGTATTCAGTTTTCATTTTGTGATTTTTTTTAAAGTCCTCAAGAAAATTCATCTGCAGTTTCCCTTAATATGATACATTTTATTTTCATCAATGTATGCACTTACATGTACACTTTACCCTAGCAAACTGCATTGGAAAAAATCAGAGAAGTGCGAATTTCATAAGGACGACTTTGCTCACATATTGTTTTCAGAAGTGCAGATTACGTGGGCTCATATTTAAGTGTAATCTGAACCAAATTTCTTCCTTATCTCTAGTCTTTAATGGTTTGTGGAAAGGCTAGGGCCACCTGCTGAATGCTGTTGTTGTCTTTTAATTCAAAGCAGCTCAGCTGTATTCTTCTCTGAAAGAAAGGAAAAAAATATTGAGGTAGCCTGCATGTATTTTTCCCGTACGTGCAAAACTCTTAGGAGAATTTCAAGCATAGCTGTATAAAAAGAACATGCAGTCTTCAGAATTCACTTTGAGTAGGCTTTTGGGGGAACGCTACAGCATGGCCCAGATTTATCCAAACTGTGACTTTCAAATAGTTTCACTGAAGTTACATTTGAGGCACAGCCCATTATTCAGGTAATTCAAAAGGCAGGGCCTGTACCTCCACGAGGAACATACACGCTGGCTCCATCAAAGAGCATGAATATTGTATTATTCTTCACACGTGGACACACACACACACACACACGGCAGTGCAGGGACTTCAGCAGTGAGTCAGAATGAATCAGGCTTTCCTGGCAGTGAATGGTAGCTGTCGCTGATTATAAATGGGAAAGGACCTACTCGAACAGAAAGCCATTTTGCAAAACGCGGAGCACTAAATAGTGTGTGCTGTTCTAATTGCACACATCATATTCATCATCAACAGCTGCATGCAGAATTGCTAATACTGAAATAGCTCCCCTTTTGCTTCCTTGACATTTGACTTTATCGGGAGTTTGAAAAAGCAATCTTCAGAGGCACCTCTTGCAGCAAAGGCGGGTTTTTCCACCTGCTTCTCCTCGTCCCAGCTCTTGGGGAAAGTTTGCTACCAAGGCTCCCATCTGCTCCAGACAATATGACTAAGGATCAGTAATGATGAGAAGGAATCCAACAACTTCTAGTGTGCATCAGGTTTCCTTTCCCTGAGTTAAATCCTGAGTTTTCCTGAGTTAAATCCTCATACTCCTCACAATCTGGATCAGGCTGCTTGCACCTGCTATTTACTTTTTAGAAATTTACTTTTTAGATATTTAACTTTTAGTGCAGCTTTCCGCAGCTCACCCTCAGATCATTTGACAAAGGATGAGCATAAAATGCTATAAATAAATACCCTGTTGCCTTGCAGAAGTTGTTGGACTACAGCTCCCATAACGCCTGATCATTATCCACCCTGGCTGCAGCTGATGCAATTTGGCATCATATTGAGGACATTAGGTTGATAGAAGAAAGGCTCTTCTGTAGATTCTGGGGAGGGAGTTGAACCAGGGCTGGCCCAGGATATTCTCCTCCCTGAAGCAGAGGGCAAGATGTTGATTGGATTGGCACAGAAATCTTGATATAAGACTGGCAATGGGGCAAGTCCTCCATTGCACTAGGATAGTGTACACAACAGGCCATGTGCCAACACACAGCTCTGATCTGAAGAGGAGAATTAATAGGAAGCTTAGGAGGAATGGTTGGAAGGCTGCCACTACAGCCACAAAGCATCTGCTGCCTGAGGCAGATGCCACACTCTGTCTAATGTTAGAGCCGACCCAGAGTCGAACATTGAAGAATGACAACTCCATTGAGTTGTATCTAACAAAATTTAAGGAGGCATGTCTCCAAACAGGGAGAAAATTGGAATAAGATGTATCAGGAACAAATGACAGAAAGCAGGAGGTATCCCTCACAAGTAGGTTGTAGCCTCGTTTCTAAATTCCAAAAAGAAAAAGTTTTATTGCTAACATATCAAGGATGTTTTGGCTTGATGCAAAGGGTGAGATCATAATCTATTTCACCAAGTGACATTTTCCACTCCAAAATATCATATTATTTGGATTTAATCAGAGGCCATTTGATCCTGTGCTTATTGAACAATACATTTCGGAGGAATATATATGCCTTCAGTCATTTCTCCAGTTGTGTTCCAGTGTAAAGGTTAAAAACAGCTTTGTCAAGGCTGTGCTTGATTAGAAAGGCCTGGAAAGTGTTCTTGGAGAGTGTCATTATACTTAATGAAAATTTCTAATTAATTGTTTCCAGTCCTCTATACACGCACGCACACACACACACGCGCGCGCACACACACACACACACACACACACACACACATGCAGTTTCAGCAAATATATTTATTTGAAAATGAGAAGTGTAGTTGGGATAATTAGAACCCACATTCAGATCTCAACTGAGCAATCAACTTGTTGCTCCTGTAACTTTAGCTGTGGCTAAAAAGTGGGTTGGGATGGCACAGCCCCTCCACAAGTTAAAAGAAAGGTGAGGCAGTAGCAGAGCAAGGTGGGTGTGGTGGGTGCGGGCCGCCCCATGTGCCTTCCCTGAGGGGGGTGATATCACTGCGAGCTCTGCCCCCCCGGGACACTCCCCGCCACCGGCGCACCCCACTGGGACGTGTGCCAATGGGACACTTCCTGCCACTGATGCACCCCCCTGGGACACAAGCCAATGCTGACGCACCCCCGCGGGCGGCTAGCCCCACCCCTGTGGGCCACACCGGGTGTTGGAGCAGGGTTTTTGGGGGGGGGGATATATATGGAGTGGTGTATAATTGGAGACCACAAGGTTTTAATGAAACAAAGTGAAAATATTCTAAAGGGAAAGAAAATAGTTTTTAGGGAAATTATTTTTGCAATAGGAAAATTACAGAAAACCAACATATCCCACCAATGGAGTGGGGGGGGGCACCAGTCAAATAAACATAGAGCTAAATGCAATCTGCTCTCCCTCTCCAGCACAGTCTGTAATGCTAATGACAAAGGTCCAATTAGCCATATCATGCACCCTCCAGCATGTGTTTCCTTTGTTTCTTGAGACCATGTGTTGATCTGACTTTCAAAGCAAGCCCCAGATAGATAAAGCATCAGCCTCTGTGACCCCTGTGCTTCCCAACCCACAAAACCTCAATGAAGAACTGGGGCTTCTCCTCCAACAAGCATCTGTGCCTGCATGTCCTGTTTGCTGTCCTGTTCCAGTCCTGAAGAGGCACACACAAGGCAGGAAGAGCTCTGAGTGACCAACTTGCTCAGATAATGCCTGGCACCAGACTGCAGCCTTTTACAACACATACCCCTTTCCCCCACCTCCAATCCTGGTCTGCTTCCCAATCTGGGCCTACTTCCCCCCAATGACACCTGCCTCTCCTTCCTGCCTGTTGCCTCAACCTAATATCAGTGCATAAATCTTGTGGGGTACAAGATGCTCGTTCGTAAGCAGCTTTTCCACAGGAGCATCCAGCAAAATGAAAACACCACCACCCCATGCTTGGTAAGAAATGGGGGAAGGATATGTAATGTCTCACCCCAGCCGTATGTTTTTAACCCTAATTAAACATAAGCCACACTCTCCAAATTAATTTGGGACTGGATTTGAGGCAGGTTAAGTGGTCCCCAGATTGGATAAAGGCAGGTTGGCCTGACTGGGGGTCCCTGGGTTGGAGCCATGGGGTGGATTGAGGAGGGTTGTGCTGAGCCCTAGTCTCTTCCAAGCTTACCTGCAGGTTGAACCCGGGGCCTTCCACATAAGAAGTAGCTGGTCTACCACTGAGCTATGGCCTGGATCTTGCTTCCTTATTTCTCTTGACGTAAAAGTGGATTCTACTTCTTCTTTCGTAATAAAAACTGAAAATTCAGCGAAGGAGCTTGGAGAATCCTGGGGGAGGTCAAGCTTTTGAGTCCTCCCATGCCACACTTCCACAATGGCGCCTGTGTGTGTGTGTTGTTTGTAGTTCTTGGCACCCAATTGCACTCTGAATCTGAATAACAGCAAAAGGACTTCTCCCCAAAGTGCCAAGGAAGTCCCAATCCAATAACACAGTCTGTTAAACAGATTAAATTGTGTTTTTCCTTTCATTGCCCTAAAAGCATGCAGTGCCCAGAATACCATCAGCATTTATTTATTTATTATTATTATTATTCTGTAGTACAACCACAGGCCTTTTATGAAATTTAATTTGGGATTAAGTGGTTGAATAAAACAAAGCCCTGTTCTGCTGTGAAGTCCTGCTAGCCACTTGTCTGTGGCTCTTGTCCTTCTATATTTCTCCTTTGTAACCTTTTTATAGCAGGAATGGGGAAATGTGGCCCGCCAAAGGTTGGGCTTCAACTCCCATCAGCCTCAGGCAGCATGGCCAATGATAAGAGGTTCTGTAATATTGCCACAGTGGACAGTGAGAAGAATAACAGTTTTTGGCAGATGGAGAAATACAGCGGGACAGAAACAGTGCTACATGCAATTAATAGAGAGAGCTGAATGGGAAATAATGCCTTCTTCCATCCTTAGGCCTCCCTCAGTGCCTGTCTGGACAAGACATGTCCACAAATGAAACTCTTTCAGGGTGTGTTGATGTGGAAGAAAGGAATTAATCCCATCCATGCTTTGTTAATATTTGCAGCTGTTGCCCATCTGCCTCATGAGCAAGTTTTTCAACATTTTAGAAATCCTGAATGGAAGTCATTGTCCCCCACTTTGCAGCCTTTCCTGTTAGCATCACCTTATGGGCAGTGGAGATAATAGCTTCTCCTGGGATAACTTGGTTTCTTAGATTTCCTTTCTTCTTCTTCTTCTTTAGTCTTCAAGGCAATTCCAAAGGACAGTTGGATATCATCTCCTAACGAGCTGAATTATTAAAGGATCTGCTAGTCTATGTGGAATGACTCACCAAGACAGGCTGGACAGAGGAGATAATGTAACAAAGGCTAATGACATCCAAGCAGGGCTTTGAATGAAAGTGAAAGAATCATACCAAAAATATTGCAGCTCTCACAGACTTCAGCATGGAGTTATTAAAACGAGTCCTCCAGTACAGTCAGAATGAAACTTCTTGGCTCTTTGAACACATCAGATGTTGTAGTGTGAGACCCATGGCTGAAAGAGAAGGCAGGCATCTTGGGCAAGGAGGCTAACAGAGTTCCATAACTGGTGGACATACACCAAATTGGACTGCCACCATGCGCTCCACAGAAGGCTGCCCTTAAAAAAGGTTCATCTAGTGCAGAATTGCCATAATGTGCCTTTGAACAGTTTTCCTTTATATCTTTTCTTTTATATCATGAAGCAATTGAGCAATCAAAATGATCAAGAGGCTAGAGCATAAGAACATAAGACTTTCCTGCATAAGACTAGCCCTGTGGCCACTGCTATTTATCTAGAAAAAGAGGTGTGGGACTCCCTTGTTCTCTTGGAATGGCAATGGCATCCACCTGAGAGGTACCGGAACTGAGTTCCAGCAAGTTCCAGTGGCCTTTCTAGCTCAACATCCTGTTCTCATAATGGCCAACCAGATGCCTCTGGGAAGCCCAAATACACAGTGACAGTGCTCTCCCCTCCTGCAGTTTCTAGCATCTGGTATACAGAAGCATTACTGCCTCTGACAGTGGAAGCTTTCTTACCCCATCAGGAAAGTTTACAACTTATGAGACTTATTTTTGATTGGGGGGGGGAGTTGAGGATGATGATGATGATGATTTTATACCCCGCCCATCTGGCTGGGTTTCCCCAGCCACTCTGGGCAGCTCCTAACAGAATATCAAAAACATGATAAAATATCAAACATTAAAAACTTCCCTATACAGAGCTGCCTTCAGATGTCTTCTAAAATTCAGATAGTTGCTTATTTCCTTCACATCTGAAGGGAGGGTGTTCCACAGGGCGGGCCACTACCAAGAAGGCCCTCTGCCTGGTTCCCTGTAACTTCACTTCTCACAGTGAGGGAACTGCCAGAAGGCCCTCAGAGCTGGACCTTAGTGTCCAGGCTGAATGATGGGGGTGGAGACGCTTCTTCAGGTAGACTGGGCTAAGGCCATTTAGGGTTTTATAGGTCAGCATCAACACTTTGAACTATGCTCGGAAACATACCAGGAGCCAAGGTAGGTCTTTCAGGACCGGTGTTATGTGGTCTCGGCAGCCACTCCCAGCCACCAGTCTAGCTGCCGCATTCTGGATTAATTGTAGTTTCCGAGTCACCTTCAAAGGTAGCCCCACATAGAGCACATTGCAGTAGTCCAAGTGGGAGATAACTAGAGCATGTACCACTCTGGTGAGACAGTCTGTGGGCAGGTGGAGCTGGTAGACAGCTGTCCTGGACACAGAATTGACCTGCGCCTCCATGGACAGCTGTGAATCCAAAATGACTCCCAGGCTGCACATCTGCTCCTTCAGGGGCACAGTTACCCCATTCAGGACCAGGGAGTCCCCCACCCCCACCCACCCCCAGTCCCCCCAAAACAATACTTCTGTCTTGTCAGGATTCTACCTCAATCTGTTAGCCACCATCCATCCTCCAACTGCCTCCAGGCACCCACACAGGACCTTCACCAGTTCTGATTTAAAAGAGAGGTAGAGCTGGATATCATCCACATTCAGGTTTGTTTGGAGTTGTTCAGCTACCCCCTACTCAATCACCCAAGAATGGAAGTTTTGATACTGGGCGATAGTTGGCCATATTGGCCAGGTCCAAAGATGGTTTTTTAAGAAGTGGTTTAATAACCACCTCTTTCAGCAGATCTGGGAAGGCTCCCTCACAGAGGGAAGCATTCACCACCCCGCAGAGCCCATTGCTCATCCCTTCCCAGATCACTTTTATGAGCCAGGATGGGCAAGGATCAAGGAGACATGTGGTTGGTTTCACTCATCCAAGCAGTCTGTCTACACCCTCGGAGATAGGAGATTAGAAATGATCCCATGCAACTTGACTAGACAGGACTTGTCCCACCCATCCCACCCCTGCTCCCATGGTGCAGTCTACCTCATTCCAAATCTGAGCAACTTTATCTGCAAAAATCTTTGCAAAATCATTGCAGGAGAACTTGGGGCCTGATGGTGGAGGTGATTCCATTAGATTGCGAACCACCTGAAAGAGTCTCCTGCTACTTTTTTCTGCAGATGCAATAGAGGCGATGAAGAAAGTCCTCTTCACCGTCACTATCGCCACTTGGTAGGCTCGATGGGTCAAGGAGAAGTCCAGTTGTACCAGGAAGTAATCCAACCATGGCACTTCTTTTGTTTCACTTTTACTTAGTGTCAGATCACCAACGTCCATAGAGGTCTAAGGCATGTCTGTGACTATGAGTTGGGCCAAACTTATTCAGGGACAGCCCCATGGAGGCCATGCTTTCCACGAAGTCCTGAGCAGCCCCTTGTAAGGTCACATTGGCATGGATGTTAAAGTCCCCCAGGACAACCAAACTAGGTATATCTGGGAGAACATCCGCCACAACCTGCAACAGGCAGGGAATCCTTGGTGCAGCGGGGAGGTCGGTACACCAAAAGGAATCCTGTACTTCCCCTATTGCCCAACTTCCAGAACATGCACTCAGAAAACTGGGTCTTCCCAATAGGACGCCCAGTGTAAGTTAATGACTTCCTAAAATTCACTGCAACCCTCCCCCCCCCCCAATATGACCTAGTTTGCTGTGCGTAAGAGAAACCTGGTGAACAAGCAGCAGCAAGGACAGGCCCATCTGCTTCATCCAACTAAGTCTCTGTCACACATGCCAGATCAATTCTTCCACCCGCGATCAAATCGTGGATGACAGTGGTCTTGTGGATCATTGACCTGGCATTGCAGCAGCACCTTACAGCCATGTGGGTCTCCTTTGTTGATTCCAGTATCCTTCTGGTCAAGACCAGACCCGGAGGCAGGGATAGTGTTCAAACAACGACTTAATCTGCCTCCTCAGTAATGACACGGTCTGGTCTTAGCGTAACTCCTCCTCCTACCCATGATCACTGCGATTGGGTGTCTCAGTGCATCCCAAACTGTGGAACCTGCCCCAGCCATTCTGTTGGCTGAGGCCCACTCCCAGGCAGCCCTGACCCTCTCCCCTTCAGAACAGAATATGTTATAAAGACTATACAATAAACCAATAAAACAGTAGAAACTAATGAAAACCCCCACACAATTTATGGTTATACTAAAATTAAAATAATCCCCAGCCCCAACTAAACGTTTACCCCATCCCCCAAAAACAAAAACAAAAAATAAAATGCAACAGATTAAAAACTATTATAAAACTTTTAAAAACACTTTCAACAGTTGCCCCAACTCCAGAGTTTGTTCCAGTGAGTCTGGGCTCTTCAGCACTTGCAGCAGGCAATGTCCCTCCCTCCCAGGAGTCTCTTATGTTGAGCAGGGTGAGTCTGGGCCCCACCCCCTAGGCCAGGTGGAAAGGGCCTTGTAGGGAGCAGTCTTCAGCATTCACAGCAGGACAATGATAGAGGTGTGTAAAATTATGCATGGTATGCAGAATGTGGGTTTTTCCCTCATTTCTCATCACACTAGACTGCAACAGGATCATCTGATGAAGTTGAATGGAGAGAAGTTATGGACAAACAACAGGTAGCACTTATTCACACTGTGCGTACTTAAATTTGCTCCACCAAGAAGTAGTGATGGCTACCAACCTGGATGGTTTTAAGGAGGATTAGGCAAATTGGTGGAGGATAAGGCTATCAATAGCTAAATTCCCCCACCACTTCCTCCAGGATACAAAGATGTCCCTAGGGTCAACAATGACATTGCCTCCTCCCTGAGTCATATCCAAAACCCTAAGGTGGACCAGGATGACTGCTGCTGTTTAATTTTTGTTTGCTTCTTTCTTTTAGGGCTACACACTGATTAAAGGAATGTCTCAATGAATCATCTCCCTTTTAATTAATACTGGTTTGCTGATTAAATTAAAGCAGATGAATTAATTAAATTATTCAGAGGTCAAGTAGGAAAAGGACAAAAGATTCCCCCAAGAGCTAAGTGGACAAATATCCAGGTCTGTGGTTAGAGTGAGAAATTATACACATAAAAGCCTGTTGACAAAGCAAAGCACAAGGGAAAGTAGTAACAAAAGACTTTTTCAGACATTCTGAAACTAAGTTGATATTTTTCTAGGTTTGATTGGCTACTTTCTGGCATTATTTCTTGTGTGCTTTCTGGCATTGTTTTATAACTTCAAGAGTGAGGAATATTGTCCAGGGGCCACATGCCAGTGGTGGGCAGGGCCACAGGCAAAAGTGGGTGGAGCAATGAATTCACAAAACTTGGCTCATTCTGCAAAAACATAGCAGTTAATGTGAGAGAACTCTGCCTGAGACTCTGGGGAAGAACTGCTACCCATTGGAGTAGGCAAAACTTCACTGAATGGCCAAGCAGTATATTCCTGGTCCAGAGTATATTCCCATGTTCCTTTACATGCATAGAAAACTAGTGTATTACCAGCAGATTGATTTGTATATGCTTTGCTTTGTTTTTAACATGGAAGCACTCAAAACTATGATCCTCCAGCTACAGTTTGATGCAGAAGTGTTCAGTGTGGCTGGCCGAGGTAGCACATTCTGAGGAGAGGCAAAAGGATAGGGGCAATATATGCAACCTGGCCTACCCTGCATTCATCACTGAAAAAAGAGTCAACTGCTTTGGGTCAAGTTGGCTATGATACATGGAATTTAGGGAGCAGGGACCGGCTTATCCTCTTCGTCAAGCAGCAAAATGGTTTAGACAGCCCTGCAAGAATTGTGTCATTTGATTCTCCAGGGATCACCAGGGAGTTTGACCCAGAATTGCATATGTATTTTCTGCCTTTTATAGCCTGCCTTTCTTTCATTGTGGAAACTAAGCCAATGTGCAGGTGGTTCTCAGGCAGTCACCCATCCAGGCACTGACCAGATTCAGTACTGCTTAGCTTCAGCCTTAGACTATATCCTGGCACCAGATACAATGATGTGGGCAAGCTCTTTCACACAACTGTAACAAAAGACCAAGCTGCAGCATTTAAGATGGTGTTCTTCGTTCCTAGATCTGTTTCAGATCAGGTGACTGGACCTGAGCTTCCCAGATAATTTAGTGAAGGACTGTAGCTCAGTGGCAGAGCATTGCATGCAGAAGGTCCCAGGTTAAGTCTCTGGCATCTCCAGGTAGGGCGAGGAGATAACTTTTCCTGAAAGCCTGGACAGCCACCGCCAGTCAGTGTAGATGATGCACAGCATAATAATACAAAAAAGCACAGATAAAATCAAAGCAAAACTGTACAGATGCTGTACAGTACAAAAAGCATAGATAGATCACTGAAGATATTGGTATTGTTGCAAACCATCCCAGTCTCTGAGCAGTGTGAGATTCCAAGGGTTCCAAGCGCTTACTCAGGGTTCAGTTTCCTCAGAATGAGGGACAGCAGAGACCGCAGTGCCTTTCAGATATGTGGTTTATTTACACATATATACAAGCTGAACCTTCGACGGAGGGGCTCGCAGCATTAACATCCTAAGAGTGTCTTGTTTCTCCTATTCCCACAACCTTGGATTCTGGCAGAGATCCAGCATGGCTCTGTCTCTCAGCTGCCCAGCCTGATTCTTGCTTCTACTACACACACACCAACTCAACTCTGGGCTTTGCCTTTCTAATTACCAGCAAGTTGAGGGAGTTGAGGGCCACCTATGTGAGGCACTTCATTTGTTACCTTAATGACCCATACATGGGCCATTACCTCACTAGGAAGCGAGCTATTCCAGGAATTAAATTCATGCTTGATCCAGGAAGTAGAAGGGGGCTCAGGCACACACGCAACCCCCCCCACCGAAAAAAGCCACCCTTTAACAGTATTACAATGGTACCTCAGGTTAAGTACTTAATTCATTCTGGAGGTCCGTACTTAACCTGAAACTGTTCTTAACCTGAAGCACCACTTTAGCTAATAGGGCCTCCTGCTGCTGTTGCGCCGCCGGAGCCAGATTTCTGTTCTCATCCTGAAGCAAAGTTCTTAACCTGAAGCACTCTTTCTGGGTTAGCGGAGTCTGTAACCTGAAGTGTATGTAACCTGAAGCGTATGTAACCCGAGGTACCACTGTGGTGCCTCTCATTTTACAAATCAGATCCCATCCTTGAACTGCAGCAAGAATTGTCAAGCATTCCACATTTGTTAAGTGAGTTAGGCAAATTTATTTCCCTTGGAGGTGTCTCTGTCGGAAGATTACATTACCAAATCATGATATGCTGTTCTAAATGTCAAGAAAGGATTTGAGAGTCTCCTGTAAAAAACAAAAAACCCACCTTTCTTATAGTATTCATTTAGCTGAGAAGGCTGTCTCAATGAAATATACTCAGGGCTGCCAAGCCGGTTATAAATTCCCTGGACTGTTGAGCTTAATCCTTTTTAATATGGCTTCCTCCAGTGTGCCGAATTGTGTGTGTCCAATTTGTAAACAAGTTAATTTATATAGAAAAGCATTTCCACAGCATGAAGCTGCCTTTACAAAGTATGGAGTATTCACAGCTCTGTGGCCGCTACTCTCCTTCTGATAATGAGCCATTCCAAAGCCTTGTGGGCTACTTTTTATTACAATGAATAGTGCCTAGCGGGGAGAAAAAAAGTAAAAGTAACATGATCAGGAGAAGTACATTTCACTCTGGTACAGTTATGTGGGTTTTCCCCATACAGGGCAAATAGCCTGCTATGGAGGGAAAGGCTGTAAGCATGGATATGTGAGCATGATGGACATGCACTCGATACCTCCAATGCATGGGCCCATCTTTGCCTGCCAGGGAGCCCACTTTGGCCCACAAGTCCATTTTCCACCAACCGCATCCACCTGTCCATCAGCAAACACCACTCAATAATGCCATCTGCAGAGGCAGATTTAGGGCAGTGCAACTGGTTTCCCCACACAGGGCGCAGGGGCCAAGTCTCCTTCCCAAAGCCTAGTAAGCTTCAGAAAGGAGATGTGAGGGCTCTAACAAGGTCCTAGAGTCCTCATTCTTCCTTCCCAAACCCTAGCAGCATTTGCCCAGCTTTGGGAAGGAGGAAGGAAGACTCTTAGGACCCTGCCAGAGCTTCACGCCTCCCTTCCCAAAGCGCGGTGCCTCCCTTATCCGCCTTTGGGAAGGTGGTGTGAGGGCTGGGTGTCAAATTTTGGCTTCACACAGGATGCCATATTACCAAGGTCTGCCCCTGCTAACTGATGGGTAGGGGGTGGGAATCAATTCCGCATTGGCTGTGCAGGCCACATGGACTGTCATGAGAAAACAATACAGTAGCAGGCTTTAACAGATACACACACTTGTCAGCTGGTGAGAGGCTAAATCCTGCTCAGTTTGGCTGCATGAGCAGATTCCCTGCATGCAGTAGGATTTGACATGCATACTCTGATTCAGTTCAGCAGGATTCAATGAATCGGGAAAGGGTTTGCATTGAAACTGCTGCTAAAATGCATATCCCCTTTGCTATAGCAGCGCCTTGCTGCCTATGAGGTGTTTTGAGGACTTCAAAGCAGCAAATCACCCGATGCCATTGGGACATTAGATTTGGTCCTTGAGGCTGATCCGGGTAAGGATCTGGCCCTTGGAGCGAACAAGGTTGTCTACCCCTGACATACACCAATGTGGTGAAGAGATGGTCAGGTCTGTGCAGGCAGCAGGTCATGCAGATCAGGTTGGATTCAGGCAGCAATTCTCAGTTTAAGAACAGCAGTATTGCAAGATTTTCATTATTTTCACTTGTGAAATGTCGGAGGGTATGAAAGGAATTGTGCCTATCTGCAGCAAGTCTAAATCCTACAGCGAGGCAGCCTCAAATTCTGCATCAAAGGTAAGAGAATACTACGTGCTGGATATATTTTGCAGAACAGGTATATTTGACAATTTCAGCTCTAACTCTGCTTGGACATGGTGCTGTGGAGGAGTCTGAGGTGCCAATCACAGGCTGTCTTGCATAACAGCCAACAACACTACCCCCCCCCCCCGCAATCATCGCTTCTGAGATTTTACTAGGTTTCCCATTGCAGACATGAGGACTAGAATTTGGGGCCGGGCCAGGGAGTAAATGAAAGCTGATATTCTCCCCAGCTTGCTGAATGCATATCCAGTTCTTATGTTCTGTTCTTGCAGATCTGAGTTTGCAGCGGCTTACACATACATACTAATTAAAACATCTCTGCATCCAAAGCAAATCTGTTTATATTTATCAGGCACACGAAGCCACCTACCATCTGTATTAGTATTATTATTAATACTGGGAGTTTAGCCTTGAGTGTCATATTAACATAGTGGACAGTGAAACACATAAAAATTGCCTCTGGCTCTTTGCAGCTGTACTTCTGTATCTTCAAGATAGCAGTGCTGTTTGAACCCTGTGCTTTGTACCAAACCTGTTTTAAAAAAGAAATACTGGCAATCACTTGTCCAAACCTCAATTTCCACTCAGTCACCTTTTTCATATTTCCATTTGATTTCAGAGAGTTAGCATTAAGTGCTTGCATCTGAGGAAAACAATCATCTTCTTTCATAACCTAAAACAATTTTGTTCGTTTAAAAAAAAACAAACGGGCAAAATAAAAGTGAAATTATTGGTATCCGTCTGTCTTCCTACATTCCTACATTCCTACATTCACTGCGTGTCCTTGAGTTTTAGTGTTAAGAGAGTGAGAGAAAAACTTTTCCACTTTCTCAAGGCCATGCATAATTTTATAAACTTCTATCATGTCGCCTCTCAGACACCTTTTCTGTAAACTAAAAATTCCCAAACATTATGGGATGCTGTTTTGTAAAGCAGTATGGTCAGCTTCTACATGCTGAATGATGATGTCATCTCAGACAGCAAAATGTCTCTGGTTGGCCCAGGCTGCAGAACACGCTCTCCTCTTAGTAAGCCTCCCCTCCCCAACCCTCCTGTTTATAGAGAGGGGCAATGGTGTGTAATGGTTAAAGTGACCTTGCCGTGAAGCTCACTGGGTGACTTTGGGCTAGTCACCTTTTCTCAGCCTAACCTACCTCACAGGGTTGTTAAGAGGATAAAATGGAGAGGAGGAGCACTATGTATGCCACCTTGAGCTCCTTGGAGGAGAAGCTGGATATTAAGTGCAATAATAAATTCATTAAAATATATGAATGTGCACCAACCGCAAAATTCTGTTTAGACCCCAATATGGCCCCTTGGGGGGGTGGCTCTTTTTCATCCTGGAGTTCATTGGAAGCTGACCATCGAGACTGGGTCTGAATCTGAATCCCAGTTCAGAAAAACAAAACTTCATATCTCACCTATTCACTATTGTGCAGAAATACAAGAAAAGACTCTAACTTCACCTTTCCTCCCCACCCCCTTTTAAAGCAACAAATTTGTAGACAATTGAGTTGAATTATATTTTGGGGAAAGCCCTAGGATTGCTGACATTATGAAGGGTGGTGCATAAAACTGGTTAATAAGGAGAGTAATATATTTGCCGCTTCAGACTGCAGGTGGAGAAAACTATTTTAGACTCCTGGCAAGCACATAGGAAGCTGCCTTAAGACAGACCATTTGTCTGGTATTGTTTACACTGGCTGACAGCCGCTCTTCAGCATCTCAGGCAGAGAGAAAGGTCTTTTTCCATCGCACACTGCTTACTCGTTTTTTAATTGGAGATGGCATGGAATGAACCAGGGAACTTCTACAAGCAAGGCTTGTGCCCTGCCACTGACCTATGGCTTTTCCTCTAAGCCCCCCTCCCCCCACACACCTTATAAAAGTATGAAGACCTGCGTAATTGTGTAAGATGATTTTATACAAATTTATATACACATGCATATTAATACATATGTAATGTGCATGTATACAAGTACATAGATATATTACATGCATGCACACGTTGCCTTCTTATGTAAACATTAACACCCTTAATTCATACTGTAGGTTATTCCAAATTACACCAACCAGAAGCCATTTGAAATCATAACTGAATGGAGCCAGGATGTAAAACACATGATCAATTTAAGCATCTAGGAAATAAAGCCAGTAAACCAAACAATGTTTTTGGTTTTCTTCTTTGTTCCAAATGTTGCAATGACCTCGTCTTACAGGTGGGGCAGGGAGGGGGATCCCTCACTTTCTTTTTATGGGGATCAGGGCCAGTACCATGGGCCACATGCCCTAGCAGCAGGGCCCACTGAGAAGACCCTCCTGGTGAGGGGGGAGTCACTTGTCCAAGGGGCATCCACTGATGGTAATGCATTCTAACCATGGACACATCAGGAGAATTTGTGGCAACTCTGTTATGCAAAAAATGAGGAAGGAAGATGTTGCATGGGGGTGAATTATGGCATTCTACAACTTTCTTTTGAGCTATACATATTTCAGTAATCTCCAGTTTCACTGAAGCTAGACTTCAGCAGAGTTGAGAGATGCCACAGAACCTGTTTTCACAGTACCAGCCCAAGAAAAGCGGAGCAAACTGCAAATGTGCAACCTCCACCAACCCCCACCCCAAGATAGGGTTAATACTCTTGCCGCACTGATTCCTGCCTCCCTCTAATCCCCCTTCCTGGCAGGTCACTTAAGCCTCCTGCTGCATTACTGGGCCAGCCCTACATTTCCAAAGTCTCCATTTGGAACACAGAAAACATGGAAAAGAAGAGAGTGTTATGAGGATATGCAGAAGTACCTTCCTTTCAGATGCATTTGGGATTATGATTCGAGTATTGTTCATCAGAAGATTTGGCCTCTGGGCTGGTTTAACCTCTACTGCCTTTCTGGGTTTTAACTCCTCTTAACTGGGAGACAGTAGAGCTGTTCGGGGAAGGACTGCGGCTTAGTGGTAGAGCACCTGCTTTGCATGCAGAAGGTCCCATCTTCAGTCCCCAACATCTCCAGGTAGGACTGGGAGAGAACCCTGCCTGAAATCCTGGAGATCCCCTGCCAGTCAACATAGTCATTGTGAAGCTAGATGGACCCATGGTCAAACTCAGTAGAAGACAGGTTTCTATGTTCCTACAGACATAGTTGAAGAAATGAACACCTTTTCATTGTTGTTGCATCAGCTTCACGTCATGCCTGTCTGCTTCCCTGAAGCATTCAGCTGTGCGGGGCTGGAGACAGGATGCTGGCCAGAAAAAGCATCCACAGCAGGCCTCTTTTCATGCTCTTAAGAACAGAACAAAAAAACTTGGTGAAATCCATAAGCAAAAGGGAGTGAAGATGCATTTAGTTGCCTTGCAAATGCTTCCATCCACCCCAAACAACTATCCAGGACTGACCTGCAATGACATGCACATCCAATGTTCCAGAGTGCTATCATTAGTCACCAGTGGTAGCCTTTAAGTTTAGGAAAAAATGTCTGTGTGCCCACACTTCTTTATTCAGCTCATCACACTCGGAGTCGCCATACACGAAAGGCATGTGCAGCAAGCGCAGAGGCCCAGCACTGCAGACAACGCAGCAGATAACCGTGACTGCCGCTCATATTTGAGGGCTTTCTTGACCTCCTCGTTCGACTGAGAGATGTAATCAAGGGTATGCAGGACATTGTACTCGATGCTGTTGATGGTCTCCTGCTGCTCTGCAACCAGGATCTCCAGGTGCAGGAAGAGAGCGTGCAACTCGCCAATCTGCGCTTCCAAGTCCAGCAGCTGCTGGTGGCGCACCTGCGCCAAGGCCAGATGCTGCTTGGCTTTGAGCACTTCCAAGTCTTGGCCAACGATGCGTGGCACCACAGGACTCTCCACCATCCGCTTGATGTCCTCTTCCTGGAGATCCAAGCCAGCCAGTTCCGTTTGCCTCCTGATCTGTTCCTTCAGCTTCTCCACATATTGTGTCTCCTTGGCGTAGTGGTGGGCAATGATGTCACGGTAGCGGCCAACAAGTGCTGAGAGCTGGATGTGGCGTATGCGGCTAATGGCCAGCCACTGCTTGCTGTCCCTGGTGAGAGCCTCTTGGATGCTGTTGAGCCTCGGCTGCAGGGTTTTGGCCTCCTGGGTGAAAGAGTCTTTGATTGCACTCAGCTCTTTTTTCTCTCTGCAAATGCTTTCCTCAGTAGTGCAGCAAAGCACCTGCTGCTGCTTCTTGTCGATGTTCTCAGATAACTCTTCCAGCTTATTCAGCGCCAAGGAGAGACTGGTTATCTCCTGGAAAACCTTATTCATGGGATTGCCCTCTTCCTCTTGGAAAATAGGGTTGTCAAAGGAGAGAGTGTCATCTAGATCCAGAGAGTCCCCGTCTTCGTTCACTCTGTTCCTGAGCTCCTCTAACCTGTCCTTCATTTTCAGCTCTTCTCAAAGCCGGAAACATCTGTGGAAGAGGAGGTGAGTGAGACACACCCATCAGCATTTACGGAGATTTTGAGGGGGCTTGGGGACTTTTGCGTCAGTCAAAGCTGTTTTAAAGAGAGAGAGATAGAGAGAGTAAAAGAAAACTTCCCTCCCTAAAGCGATTGCAAATATTGACTGAGGCAATAAGCTTCTAAACCAGAGTTTACTCTACATCACATGGCTAATGCAAACCGGCTAGACGAGATTCCATGCCAGGGGTGGGTGGCACATAGCCCAATGATACAGCGTCAGCTGCACATTGCTGAGTGCAGTCATGGGGAAATGTGAAAGGGGGCAGGTAGGCAGGTAGGCAGGGGGAATGTTTCAAGCCAGACTCAGCTGACTTTGAAGGTGACCCTGCAGCAGCTTTCAAACTACTGAGTCAAAACCAGGTGCAAAGTGGACCAGAATTCAAATGAGTGCCATTAAAGAATGGAGGTTGTGCATGCATTCCATGGTTCTGCATTCTGCAGTCACAGAATCCTTCCTTCCTTCCTTCCTTCCTTCCTTCCTTCCTTCCTTCCTTCCTTCCTCTCTTCCCTGTTTCTCCTTCTGGCTACTAACCCTACTGGCTATGTTCTGCCTCCACTGTTGGGGGCAGTATGCCTCTGAATACCAGTTCCTGGAAACCCCAGAAGGGGAGAGTGCTGTTGTGCTCAGGTCATTGCTTGTGGGTGTTCCAGAGGCATCTGGTTGGCCACTGTGAGAACAGGATGGTGGGCAAGGTGGGCTACTGGCCCAAGCCAGCAAGCTCTTATGTTCTTACAACTTTCTGTTCCTAAATAATTTTGAAGGATTTTTTTGTCTTGCATAATAACAGCATAATTTCAGCGGTAACAAAAATTTAATAATACAATGGTACCTTGGGTTAAGTACTTAATTCGTTCCGGAGGTCTGTTCTTAACCTGAAACTGTTCTTAACCTGAAGCACCACTTTAGCTAATGGGGCCTCCTGCTGCTGCCGCGCCGCCAGAGCAAGATTTCTGTTCTTATCCTGAAGCAAAGTTCTTAATCTGAAGCACTATTTCTGGGTTAGCGGAGTGTGTAACCTGAAGCGTATGTAACCTGAAGCGTATGTAACCCGAGGTACCACTGTAAACAAAAAATAATGTTACAGGGTTGAGGGTGGAGAATCAGTGATGGGGCTGACAAATCCTAAGCCTGAAGGTGCTTTTATAGGCCCCTCCACACACAATTCCATCCCTGCTTTTTCCCTTCCAATTCCCACTCCCCCCATCTAGTGTACAGGCATCTCCCTGTTTATGTGGGGTTTGCATTCCAAGGCACCGTGTGTTTACAAGAAATTGTGAATATTTGAAACACCACTGAAAAAGCCTGCAAACACCCCATTCTGTTCCCGTCCCTTTTTGTGATGTTTTTGGGTGCAGTTGTACACACACCTAAAACAGTCACTTCCTGTACTTTCTCCCCCAATTTTGGGGGGCATGCTGGGGGAATGGGAAGGCTTTGGAGCGGGTTGGACTACATGATACTCAGGGTCCCTTCCAACTATCTACCATTTCATGATCTAAAATCTCCCTCAGTCCATGCCCCCCCCCATAACATCCCTTTTTCCTGTTGGCACAATCAGATCACAGACAGGGAAATGGCAAGTGCAGTCCAGATTTTTGCACTCACAGGGCAAAGGTCAACTAGGGGAACAGGACACTGCCCCAGCAACCTCAGTCTGCCCTCAGCCAGCTCCCACCAGCCTGGAACTGCCTGTCAACCTCCTCTGTGTAGAACTTGTAGAACTCAGCAGGGAGGAGAATGAGCGGGAAAGATAGAATGAGTTGACTCCACCTGTCACCGGCTCTGGCTCAATCTACTCTTGACCTCTCTGCCTTCCACCCTACCAGTTCCACGGGGCATCAATAATCAGCTCTGCTCTCTTCATTCAGAGGAAGGTCCAGTCTATCCTATTGCCCCTCAGATGCCCTTCCAATGACAGTAGGATTGTGTCCAACAAAATATCCAGGAGGCAAGGATAAGGGTTTCTGAAACCCTCTTTTAACACACAATCAGGAGGGGAAGGAGGAGATGCTACACCTCCTTTTCCTCCCCTCCCAAAAAGAGTACACATGAAATGAGCAGCAACCAGCAACTGGAAACATGCAGGGTCAGAGATTCCCAATTGGTAAGTGGGAGGATCTGATCCTGCACAGTGCTGCTTCAGGAGTGGGGAGGCCTGGGAGGAAAAAGGAGAGTTTGGAAGGTGAAGGTACCCACCTATACCTACATCTGTCTTCTTCTCTATGGGTGTATATTGTATTTAATTATGGAGTATCAGAGTTTTTAGGGGGCTAACCAGGCTGGGATAGCTTGGATAGCAGGCTTGTTGGCTTTTGAATGTCTGGTGTAGATTTTTTCAATTTCGTTGTTCTGTATGGGACAATGGCAATAAAGATTATTGTATCGTATGTGGCCACCAGGTAGATCCCTCCTTTTCTGGTTTCTCCTTCTTCATGCTTGACACCACACCTCCTGACTATCCCCAGATCGTTCTGAGCTACCCCAGCCCAACTCAATTGCAACCCACATTCTTCCAAATGAACCCAATATGGTCCAGGATTTGGACCTCATTTGAATCCAGTGCACAACCCAAATACATAAACCATTTCCATTCTCCAAGCTTTGCAACTGATCTTTCAATATCTCAGGAATACTCAATGAATGGACGGCAGGTAAAAAAGAACAGCCTCTGATAATAATGTGTGTAATCATACACATAAAAATGTGTGTGTGATAATGCACATGATATCCAATAATTGTTTCCATTCTTAGTAGAACTGGAACAAAAATTATTTGCTTCTTGTTGAGTTCAAGCAGCAAGACAGAAATTTAAAAAGACCTGTGCAGAAAAGCTTGGAATTGAGGTTTTCATAAGATTTGATTCCTCATTATAAAATGAGCTTCATGTGGTGGATCTGATCCTGACAGACATGGATTCAAGTGCCACCTCTACCTGGTGGTGTTGGGCAAGTCAGCTTAGGGAACAGCTGGAGTTCAGTAGTCAAGCACCTGCTTTGCATGCAAAAGGTTCCAGATTCAATACCTGGTCTTGAAAGACTTGGTCTGAAAGCTTGGAGAGCCACTGCTATTCAGTGTAGATGAGGGATGGTGAACATTGTGGCACCACATGTGTTGTTGGACTACAACTCCCATCATCCCTTATCACTGGCCATGCTGAGAGAGGCTGATGGGAATTGTAGTCCAACATCATCTGAAAGGCCACAGGTTGCCATTCTTGCTTGTAGGCAATACCGGGTTAGACAGACCAATGGTCTGACTCTGTTTAAAGCAGCTTCCTGTGTCTGAGTTTCCCACTGTAGTTTGATGCCAAGGCTACTTTCAGAGGTGTACCAGGGAGTAAGAACTAAGAAATGCCCCCAAACACAGAAGAGCCAGCTATTTGGATCCCTTCCAGTCGGGATTCAGGCCTCATCATGGGACTGAAACTGCCTTGGTCGCACTGGTTGATGATCTCCGGCTGGCTAGGGACAAAGGTGAGAGCTGTTTCCTAGTTCTGCTGGATCTCTCAGCGGCATTTGATACCATCGACCACAACATCCTTCTGGACCGTCTTGAGGGGCTGGGAGCTGGGGGCACTGTTATACAGTGGTTCCGCTCCTTCCTCCTGGGCCGTGTTCAGAAAGTGGTGGGGGGGGATGAGTGTTCATCCCCCTGGGCCCTCACTTGTGGGGTGCCTCAGGGTTCTGTCCTCTCCCCCATGCTTTTCAACATCTACATGAAGCCGCTGGGAGAGATCATCAGGGGATTTGGGCTGGGTGTTCATCAGTATGCGGATGATACCCAGCTCTACCTCTCTTTCAAATCAGAACCAGTGAAGGCAGTGAAGGTCCTGTGTGAGTGCCTGGAGACGGTTGGAGGTTGGATGGCGGCTAACAGATTGAGGTTGAATCCTGACAAGACAGAAGTACTGTTTTTGGGGGACAGGAGGCGGGCAGGTGTGGAGGATTCCCTGGTCCTGAATGGGGTAACTGTGCCCCTGAAGGACCAGGTGCGCAGCCTGGGAGTCATTTTGGACTCACAGCTGTCCATGGAGGCACAGGTCAAATCTGTGTCCAGGGCAGCTGTTTACCAGCTCCATCTGGTACGCAGGCTGAGACCCTATCTGCCTGCGGACTGCCTCGCCAGAGTGGTGCATGCTCTGGTTATCTCCCGCTTGGATTACTGCAATGCGCTCTACGTGGGGCTACCTTTGAAGGTGACCCGGAAACTACAACTAATCCAGAGCCGGCAGCTAGACTGGTGACTGGGAGCGGCCGCAGAGACCACATAACACCGGTCTTGAAAGACCTACATTGGCTCCCAGTACGTTTCCGAGCACAATTCAAAGTGTTGGTGCTGACCTTTAAAGCCCTAAACGGCCTTGGTCCAGTATATCTGAAGGAGCGTCTCCACCCCCATCGTTCTACCCGGACACTGAGGTCCAGCACCGAGGGCCTTCTGGCGGTTCCCTCACTGCGAGAAGCCAAGTTACAGGGAACCAGGCAGAGGGCCTTCTCGGTAGTGGCGCCTTCCCTGTGGAACACCCTCCCACCAGATGTCAAAGAGAACAACAACTACCAGGCTTTTAGAAGACATCTGAAGGCAGCCCTGTTTCGGGAAGCTTTTAATGTTTGATGTATTATAGTATTTTAATATTCTTTTGGAAGCCGCCCAGAGTGGCCGGGGAAGCCCAGCCAGATGGGCGGGGTATAAATAATAAATTATTATTATTATTATTATTATTATTATTATTATTATTATTGCTCCAAATCCCAGCTCATACAAGAAGAGCTTTATAGCTCCTACATGGGGAGGGCTGTAGGTCAGTGGTAAAGCATCTGCTTTGAATGCAGAAGGTCATGAATAAATAAAAAAACCAGCCCTCACAAAAATTCATCAGCCATGTGCAAGAAGATACATTAAAACACATAAAGCCCTGAGTCCAGTCAGAGAGCCAACTTACCTTTTCCATCTGAAATCATTCCATGTGGCAGGAGTTAAGTTATTCTTTTGAATATTTTGCATTTACCTATCTAAAAGTACACAATGGTCCCTCCCAAGTAACAATCAACACTCATGCATTTCCAGAGTACACACAAAAGCCCCAGAACAGAACGTTGGCGGATTTCCTGGTGCTTACTCTTTAACCAAGGAACTGAATTTTCTGTGGTCTACAGTTTATTTTCTTAAGCATTGTTGATGTTCAATTATCACAGCGCAAGATGTCATTTTCCTCTACAGGTTGTTGTTGTTAGGAAAGCATGTTGGGGTCATCACAAAGTACTATGGAGGTCAAAATTGAACTCAGTTGCATTGTATTCCAGATTTACCTCACTTCAGCAGATAATCTGCTGAAACATACAGTTGCATTCAACTGAGAGCTGTGCAGAGTAGACCCATTGAAATCAACGGGCAAATTAGTTGCAGCCATTGATTTCAGTGGGTCAATGCTTCATAGGACTTAGTTCGATAAAACCAAGTGTTATGAGGTGGGGGGGGGATAAATTGTTATTAAAATTCTAGGTAGGAAGTAGCAGAACTCCCGCTACTTTTGTAATCGGATTTTAGCAGCGGTAACAAAACTGTAATTTGAAATAAAAACCTATTGATGGTAAATTATTGATATGATTATTTAAATGGTTCTAATGATAGCTGGAAGGTTTTTTTTTAACAGTGAAAGATGATGAATTTATACAAAGGAAGAGTCTGAGTGCTTCAGATGAAACTGTAATGAGTACAGCCAAGATCCTTTTATAATGCTACCTCCTCCATTGAAATACTCTTCTCAGAGCTGCTAATGCATCTTGGAAAAACAGCTCCCAATAACCAGGTGATCACTCAGGAGTGACAGGGGATGAAATTACTATGTCATTTTTAGGGGGGAAGGATCAGGTGTGGGCAGAATTGTTTGCTTAAAACCAGCGCTTTTTTCCTTAAAAAAATGTTTAGGGGTACTCTCATTTTCCTACTCATATTGAAATACTGCCCCTCAATGAGGCCAAACTTAGATTCGCAAAATGTTTAGGGGTATGCGTACCCCTGCGTTCCCCCAGAAAAAAGGCACTGCTTAAAACTATGGAAAAGATGAAGAGAGCAAATGGATGGTGAGATGAGAGTTGGCAATTTTGGGCAGAGTCAAGCTGATCTTCTTGGTGAGAATGCACGTAGACACTCCCCACCCCCACCCCTTCTACTCTAAACTGGGTATATTAGCAATACATATACAGTGCTATGTAAATTCCACATAGCCTTTGTACAGAAAGGCTGCAGCTCAGTGGCAGAAGGTCCTAAATTCCATCTCAAGGTAGAGCTGGGAGAGACCTTTGCCCAAAATCATGGACAGCCACTGCCCATCACTGTAGACAATAGTGACCTAGATGGTGCAGTGGGCTGACTTGGCATAAATCACCTTCCTACTGCAATGTTGTCTGATTCTGCAAGTGCAGAATCAGACAACAAATGTGAATTCTACAAGCCCTTATAATAGCCAAGAGCCTTACTGTATATTGCAAGGCTGCATGTTGGTACATCCACCAACTACTACTCAAAGATTTGGGGACAAAACTGACCTTTCGGTGCATGGCTTATTAGCATCAATCTTATTTAAAATACGTATTTGGCATATGGGAGTGTACACTTCCCTCGATAAAGATCTCTTTGTTACTCAAATGTAAGAGCTTCTGTGAGCTGCTTTGAGTGGGAGCCAGGATACTTTCAAATAGAGGACCGTCTTCTGCAAAGTAGGATACATGGCTCTGCCCTCCAATACCTCACTGCCACCACCCAGCACCAGCCACCTGATGCAGCCGCTTCACTCTGCCTAATGTTAGGGCCAGCTGCAATTTCTGCCTGCAACATAACTGTTAAAGGCAAATGAACCCTCCATTCACCAAAGAAGGCAGCAATCCTAACTTAGCTTACCTTAGTTTTATCTTTTCGTGCCTTGCCTCTGATTCATGCATTCAAGCTTTTAGGAGGAAACAAAGCTGACAGTTCAAGTTCTACATCTGGAGTGAGAGCCAGGACAGCTGAGCTCACTCTTCTGAAGGATATTTTATACTTTGGTTTTGCTATGGCCATTTCCTTCTCACAAGCTTTCACTGCAACCTTTCATTGGACTTGTCTCTTGATCCTCATTTGTGCCCTGTAAGATCTGAAAGCAATTAAAATGGAATTGAGTCACCTGTGCCCAGGGAGGTACAGGTAAATCATTGACAGGTACCACAGAGCGGCTTTGCCAGCCACGCATTGACATCACTGGGGAACCCATTGATCCGGAACTGAAGGAATCATTCCCACCTCTTCTGGAACATGTTAAAAGGAAAGTGAACACCAAGGCACTCATTCATTGAACAGTAAAGTCCCTTCATTAACTCAGAGTTCACGCACGTGGACTGTATGTTCTAATTTTTATTGTTTCCAAAAGGCATATAAATTACTTTCAGCCCAGGTACCCATTGCATGGCCAGAATGTCTCTGGCAATAGAATTAGATTATTATTTACCAGCCATGGTAGGTAACCATCAGAAGCAGTTTGCTGGGTGTGGCAGAGGGTGGTAGCAGTAAACCTGGGATTCATTTCACTTAAAATAACCAGTGATTAAGCCAAAGTAAAAGACTGGAATGCTGTTAAAATTAGTCTGGTCATTTCTCCTGAGGGGCTGTGCTTCTGTCTGAACAACATGCGAGTTGTGAATCAGGGCATTATCCTGTAGGAGGCAGACACCTTTGGTCAGCATACTACACCTCTCAATTTTTATGGCCTTCCGCAATTTCTGCAGCAGTGAAACATAGTATGTCCTGGTAATTGTGGTACCCTTTGCCAGGAAAGCCATCATCACTACTCCGCAATGGTCCCAAAAGACCGTGAGCATGACCTTGCAGGCTGACAGTTGGACACATGCCTACTTTGGAGGTGGTGAGGCAGAGTGCTTCCATTGTTTGGACTGGGATTTAGTCTCTGAGTCATAATGATGGACCCATATTTCCTCCTGAGTAATTAGTCTGGCGAAGAAGTTATCATGGTTTTCATGACACATGGCCAAAAGAGCATGTGACTCGTTCCTGCTTCTGGAAAGGTGTCAGCAGCCGGGGAACCCACCATGCAGACACCTTTCCCACGTGCAAATGGTCATGGATTATTTTTTTCTACAGAGCCCACACTGATCTTGACATCTGCAGCTAGTTGGTGAATGGTTATGCAGCGATCCTCCAAAATGGCGGCCTGCACTTGCTGGATGGTGTCTTCATCAATAGTGGACTGTGGTCACCCAGGAATGGGAGCTATACCACCAAGTCTGACCACATTTTAACTGATGGTGCCAGTGCTTGACTACGTCATACAATGGGGTATTCTCCCCATAAGTCCCTTTCATCTCATCGAACGTCTCCCATGGTGTGCACCCTTTCAAGTACAGGAACTTAATGACCGCTCTGCATTCAACTGGTTCCATTATCAGACGTTACTCCACGTTAGCACCCGTAGCAGAGAAAGCGTTAGGAGTTCAGGGCTACAAATTACCACATTACCCATGGAGAGATGTATCATTACACAAGAGCAATTTCATCCTCCTATGATAACCGGAAGTGGGTCAGGAAAAATCTTTAATGAACGACCCTCGTAATCACCTCAAGCTTTTGTAGGTGAGCATGCCCTTTTTTTAGTACACTCACTCTCACATTCTAGGTGTCTCCAATTGCTCATTTCTGTGGTAACATATTGCCCTAAGCTTACATTACAAAGGGGATAACAGACATCTTCATGACTATTAACAAAAGAAGTTGGTATAGTCATTTTAACAGTCCTCTTCTTCAAAGCTCAATCTCATGACTATAACAGTGTTTCTCAAACTTGGGTCGGCAGCTGTTGTTGGACTACAACTCCCATCATCCCTAGGTCACAGGACCAGTGGTCAGGGATGATGAGAGTTGTAGTCCAACAACAGCTGGAGACTCAAGTGTGCATAGAAACTGTGCATAGAATCACAAGGTTTACGCACACGTACTGGATTAAATCATAGCCATCTCCAGGTAGATCTGGGAAAGTCTTCTAGATGAATCCCTGTAGTAAGAAGAAGAATTTTATTATTTATACCCCGCCCATCTGGATGGGTTTCCCCAGGCACTCTGTAGAGGTACCACCACTCACTGTAAAAACAGTACTGAATTAGATGGACCAAATGGCCTAACTTTGCATTCTATGTTATTGCAAATAGTTAATCGCTGCATATGCAACAGCATAAAAATAACTACTGTACTTACACAACTGCCATCTCAAATTATGCTCCTTTAAGAAACTCTGCCAAATCTTCCTGAGACTCCACTCTACTTCCTAATTCATGAATTCCTCATAAGGGCACGCAGAAGGATTTATAAATATTCAGAAAGCAATCATTTCTTTAGTGGTTAATTAAACAGAGCAGTTCATAGCTACCAAGACTATGTGTAATAATCTTTAAGACTCATTTACTGAATTTGCTGAAACCAAATGGTCATAATATCCATCTACCAATTTATTTACTTAATTAGACGTACAGCCTGCCTTTTTTCAAGGACTAGGGATGGGCAATGGTTCTAATGGCATTTTTTTCTGCCATGACCTGGTTTAATCTTGTTGGATCTCCCACCTGCAGTTCCCAACTGTGGCCAGACATTTTGAGAATACCAAGACTTCCAGACCATAACAGCGGTAACGGAAGGGCCATAGCTCAGTGGTAACACATCTGGCTTGCATGTAGAAGGTTTTAGGTTCAATCCACAGCATCTTGAAGCAGAGATTGGAAAAACTCCTGGACAGCCGCTGCCAGTTAGTGTACACAGTTCTGAGCTAGATGATTCAATGGTACACAGCAGCTTCCTATGTTATGCCAAATTCAGATGACAAAAGAGAAATGGGTACCATCAACAGAGTGCTACATATCTACACAATTTTCCCCAGTGGTTTCATATATTGATTGATAGTTGGTTGAAGAACCACAGCTCAACAGTGGAGTGCATACTCAACTTACAGAAAGTTCCAAGTTCAATCCCCAGCATCTCTTGTTTAAAAGGACCAGGGAGCAGGTGATTTGAAAAACCTCTGCCTGAGGGCATGGAGAGAAGTAGTCAATCAGAACAGACAACACTCAGCCAGGAAAGCTTTAAGGAAGCTTCCTGTGTAATGGAGTGGGGCTGACCTTCTTAGAAACACTATTAGCCCAAGATCATTTGCTACTTGAGCCCAAGCCAAAATTATTATTAATTGCACTTATTAGGTGCTTTTTCTTTTCTTTTCTTTTCTTTTCTTTCTTTCTTTCTTTCTTTCTTTCTTTCTTTCTTTCTTTGCATGGTTTTTTATTAAAGCATTTTTGAGAACAAAATTAAAGGGGTGGTGGTGGAAAAAGGAAGAAAAGAAGAAAAGAGGGCTTCCAATTCTCAATCTGTCAGTTACATAAAAAGAATTATTCAAAACTTTTGCTCCACAACAACATCCTATATTCCACTTTCCATAAATCAGTATTTTTCCAATCTTCAAACCCAAATATATGTTCATCTTCCTTTTTACATAGAAAGTCCAATTAATAATATTGTTAAATGTCAGCAATAGCTGACATTCTCCAATTAATTGTACCAATGTTGCCTCCAGCCATTTCAGCAATCATGCCTCCATATTAAATAATGGCAAATCTTCCCCTTTCTGCATATATAGACAACTCCACATTTGTGCATGTTTTGGCATGTGCGCAACATTTGGCATGTGCGCAACCACCGATGCATGTGTCGTTTTTGGCCTTGGAAGGGGGTGGGGCATAATGGGGTGGGCTTCCGCATACTTTGCCAATGCATGTAGTGCTTCAGAACAGACCTTCCACGCAAACAGGGAGTTGCCTGTATAAGAGTCTTTTTCTTTTCTTTACAAAAAAAAAATAAACTCAAACTGACTTACAATATAATACAAATTTTAAAACCAATATAAAACTAAAATGAAATAAAAACTAAATAAGATTCGCATACATCAAAGGCAGCTGAACACATCCCATGCACCAAAGAAGGCCTCAGTATCCAAAACAGTCAAAATTGAAGGCAAAGGTGTGGGTGGGAGAAAAATACACTTTTGCCTGGTGCCTAAAAGTATTATTATTACATTTCTATATCACCCTTCATCTGAGGATCACAGGGCAGTTTACAATATAAAAACTTGAAAATACATATCATACTAAGAAACAAAAATAATCACCACCCCCACACTCCGTTTCAAAGGCCATAGATTGTTTAATTAGCCAAAGGCCTGGTTGAAGAGGAGTGTTTTTGCCTGGTGCCTAAAGATGTGTAATGAATGATCCTCCCTGGAGAGAGCATTCCATAAAATGTGGAGCCACTGCAGGGAAGGCTTGTTCTTGTGTTGCCATGAGAGATGTTGCCTCTTGACATCTCATGGAGGGGGCACATGAAGACAGTGATGATTCTCCCCCCACCCCATCCACTGCTCCCATTCTACATACAGAAACTAACCAGTATAGATGGGGCAGAAATTCAATTCAGTAGACATTTAAAGTCACATAAAAAATACAAAGACAGACTTTCAGCAAAGTAAGTGGCTCACGCCGATGCCAAACAACAAAGCTTTAATAATAAAGAAAATTGTAGCACAATATCATACTATCAGAGAGAAACTAAAACAACATGAGGCAAGAAGCAAGAACGACAGTTGGTCTTTTTAACTGAACTGAACTAAATGCCTGAAGGGAAGGACCGATTCTGGAGCACAACACAAAAGCCCCACCAGATGCCAGACATTCTACTGTTCGAATTAGGCGCCAGTGTTTTTCTAACAAAACAAACTGGCAGCCAATGTAGGAAGGGCTGGGAAAGACTCCTTCGTCTGAAAACCTGGAGTGCTGCTGCCAGCATGTATAGACAATACTACACTAGATGGACCAAGAGTCTGAGTCCGCATAAGGCAGCTTCCTATGTGAAGTGTAGTTGGGTTTGAATATATGACACTATGTACCAGGGTTGCCAGGTCAGAAGCATTCCAGACCCTAAGATTTCAGGGGCCAAACTCGAGACCTTATTTGCATATGTGGACCTGAGTGAAAACTATCTACAGTATCCCCCTGCTGGCCCAGGGTAAG